ATATATATTTTTTTTATTTTTTTTATATTGTATTAAAATATCAGATAACACAATTTATTATATAAATATATATTTTTATTTAAATGATTTATATAGTAAATAAATAAACAATATATAAACTAAACAAAAATAAAATAAAACTATATAAGTAAAAAATAAAGTTTACTGAATTATTTGCTGTAAACCTTTTATTTGATTATTGATATCAACTGTTTCATGATTATTTTTTTCTATCTCTTTAACTATCTCACGTAATAATGTAGGAAGTAAATCTTTAACTATATTAAAAATTTCTTTGATATTATTACTTATCTCATTAATCTTCTCATCTTTTTTATCAATCTTATTTTTTAAATCTTCAATTTCTTTTTCTAGTTTATCTTTTTCATTTTTTACATTATCTAATTGATTTTTCACAGATTCATAATCTATATTATTTCTTTTACTTTGTTTGTAGAGCTCATTTAATTCTTTTTTATCTTTTTCTAATTTTTTAACAATTTTTTTTTGAGCATCATACATTATCTTTTGTCTATCACATTCTTTTTTCAAATTACTAATTTCATCATCTTTATCTTTAATTGTTTGATCTAGTTTATCAATTTCAATTTTATGATCTCGTTTAAGATCTTCAATAGTTTTTTCTAATCTTTTTTTTTCTTCTTCAAGTTCTTTATTTTTTTCTTTTTCTTTTTTATGTTTTTTTTTAAGTTTTTTACGTTCTTCTTCAGCTTCTTCTAATTGTTTTTTTGTATCAGCATGAAGTTCTTTTTCTTTTTCTAGTTTTTCTTTTTCTTTAAGATATAAATCATATGCTTCTTTTGCTTCTTTCTTAGCAGTAACAAGCTCTTTACATAATTGATTTATTTGATTTAAAAGTTGTTTATTATTTTTTTGAAATCTTCCTTTAGTATTATAGTAATTAGTGCATTTATTAATATTTTGTTGCATTTGAATAATATTATTATATCTGTTACTCTAGATAGAAAATATTTTTTTAAAAAAATAACTAAATATTTTATTTATTATTTATATAGATAATTTTTAATTATAAAATATTTTAAAGGATATGTAAAAAATTTAATTTTATTATTCATATGTTCTTATAGTAACTCAATAAAACTATATTTGTAATTTAAATTAATAAAATTAAAAAAATATATAATTAAAATTTTTATATTGTCATTTACCTTTAATTATCTTTACAGATTAATTTTCTTCATCATCTTTTCTATCTTTTTATTTTTTGATTGTATTTCTTTAATCATATTTTTAACGAATAAAATATAATTTTCTAACAAAGTAGAATTTGTTCTATACACATGTTCTAATTAATCAATTGAATATTTGTTTAATATCTTATTACATTTTTGAGAAATCTCATCTAACTTATCATGAGAGTAAATATTTTTTTTTTTTTCTTTTTCTTGATTAAATTCTTTTAAACATTCGATTATTTCATTAGAATAAATTATATGAATATAAATCATTATTAATAAAATAATATAAATGATTTTCATTTTTTTTATAAATTAAGAAATGTTCGTAAACAAGTTATTTATATTTTTTTTTAAAAAAATAAAAAACTAATCATCATATTCTCATTCTATAGTTACAATAAACTCATTAGTCATAAAATTAATCTTATAATTTATATTTTCCGTTATTAATATACAATTTGTACTAATCCAAGAATCAAACATTTCTTCCAATTCTTGTTCAATTTCATATTTGGTATTTTCATATTCACATCTTATAAATGGTCCTTCTCAAGTATGTATTTGATTTACAATAATACGAGTAGTAAAAACTGCATTGATATAAATTAACCAGAGGATCAAAAAAATATAATTCATTTTACGTATTTTTTTATCACTAATTAGTAAATCTACGCTTTTATATTTTTATAAATAAACAAATTGGGATATAAATGGGAAAATCTATAACAGGGTTCTTTGTTGTATTAAAAGGACATAAGACTGGTTTGTATTTAAACTGGGATGATTGTTATGAGCAAATAAGAAATTATCCTAATTCTAAATATAAAAA